AGTGCAGGGTTTATTATAGGTAAAAGGACAGGTGCAGACAACGACGGACCATACAACGATGACAGATCTCGGGAATACAGACTGAGACTCGGACTAAATACACAAGACTAGGTAACAGAACGAGCTACAGGTGGGAACAATTAGGGCGAAACAGAAGGTAATGAGGTGGGCGTGGCACACATCGGGAGCGGACGGAGCGGGGCGTGACACCAGCACTGGGCAATACGAATACTGGGTCATGCCTTATGGGCTGGCTAACAGCCTGTCAATCTTCCAATCTTTCATGTATGAGCTGTTTCAGGGAATGCTAAACCGCTTTGTTATTGTCTACACTGACGATATCCTGATCTTCAAATAACATTCTGAGGGATAGCCAACATGGATTTAGGAGAGGTAGGTCCTGTTTAACTAATCTACTTGAGTTCTTTGAGGAAGCTACAAGAGAAATTGATCACAAAAAGGTCTATGAAATTGATCTACTTAGATTTCCAGAAGGCCTTTAATGTTGTTCCCCACAAACGGCTCTTGCTTAAGCTCAAAGCTGGTTAACAGACAGGAAGCAGTGGGTAGTTATTAGAGGCACAATGTTGCAGTGGGCCTGTGTTCATAGTGGGGTCCTTAATAGTAAGAATTGCATTGTAGATATCCATACATTTTCTGAAACCACTTATTCAAGGTCACAGGAGGGTCCAGAGCCTATTCTGAAGGCTATGGGCGCAAGACAGGGAACAACCCACAATAGGGCACCAACCCATCGCAGGGCACGTTTAAACACCATTTACTCACACATGCACACCTATGTGCAATTTGGTAACTCCAATCAGCCTCAGCATGTTTTTGGACTGTGGGGGGAAACTGGAGTACCCGGAGGAATTGATACAGGGATAAACTCCACACACATGGAATCCCACCGAAACTGGAACCCAGGTCCCAGAGGTGTGAGAGGAGAGTGCTTACCACCATGCCACCCCTAACTGTAGATATCTTGAATTCATATTCTTACAGGTAAAAAAAAACAAAACAATTTTTACTAGTAAGAATGTTATTTTTACTGGTAAGAATTAAGTTATGACGAGTAACCCTTATACTAATAAAAGACAATTTGGCTTTCCATAAGCTCCAGGGGCACTGCACGCTGGTATGGCAAGCCAAATTGTCTTTTGGAATATAGGACTAGTAAAACTTTAATTATATAGCTTTTTACTAGTAAAAATACAGTTCTTATTAGTGAAAATCATGATTCAAGTCCAAATAGAACTATAAATATATTGAATTCACATTCTGACTAATAAAAATTACGTTATTTCTACCAATAGAAATCAAGTTATGACAAGTAAACATTATAATAAAATGCACAAGTAATAAAACACAACTTTGTCATTGGAATTACAGACTGAAAAACAACCATCAGTTAGTCAACTAGCCTATTTCTTTCAATACTTTTACTATTTTTCGCTATTGCCTTTGTCATTTTGAAGTTGACAGTATCATCTCTGTGCATCAGTCATAACTCAGATGCTGTTACTATAAACTGGTCAAAAATATATTGTGGTCAAATTAACAAAACATCCTTGTTGATGTAGCTAAACTGCATAACAGGACAGAGCCAGACAGTTCATGATCATTCAATCAGTTCTCACTGTCTGTTTTGTTCTCTACACGCAGTTATTATGTGAACTTGTTCCTCTGGCCTACGGTATCACAAGGTTCAGTGGAACTGGGTTGGAAAGGCCAATTGGATCACAACAAAGGGCGTGGTTACTGAAACTGGGTTGGAAATCTCGTACACGCCACTGTAGATCAGGCAGCGCCGTAAAGTGTAATATAATGTACGCATGCGTGAAGGTAGTAACGACAATCCCTTAAGGCTCGAGTGGTGTTCGTCCGCTTAATTTCTTGGAAAAATGCCCCCGACAGGTAGGTTATTTATTATTTTTATTATTTACTTAAATTAAAAATTGTTGACGGGTGTAGTATTATTATTTTTAATGGATAAATAAAGCTTGATTGCTGAAAGTTGCTTTCCTCGTGTGTGATAGCTAACTACTCGGCGTGCGGCAAAGGTACATTGCAGGGCTTGTTTGCTTACCTTAGTTTTCACTCAAGTTTGAAAATTAAGCCATATTTGCCCAGTATAATCACTGCTTCATGAACTCCAACGAATACTCTAAACATCGTCCATGGAGTTTGAAGTACCTATATGCTGTAGTTATTTTCAATATGACTATGAAAATGTTTCGGCCTTATATTTTACTGTTAATCCGGGTATTTCGAATTACTATTAAATGTATGGTTTTGACGTAACATCGTTGGCTTTGTACTGTCTAGAATAAAATGAAAATTATGTTTACAAAAAAACGTGTTGCAATTTAATCAGCAAAAGTAGCGCCACAACAACGTCTTTTTACCTTGTTTATCCACAATATCTTGAAAAGAAGTTGTGGCTGCTAACTTCAGTGCTTATCGATTCCACGATTTACCAAAACAGAAGCATAGGGCACTCCGCTGACCGAATTTAATAAGCATAAGGACACGCCGAATTTATACAGATTACTAATTTCTGGCCGTCGAAATACGAATCTCAATATTTTAGGCATGCTACTAATTTGCTTATCGAATTGTGGGCGAAAATAATGTCCGTATAGTGCCGAAGCGTCCATTATCTAAAGCTCTGCAATAACATACATGACATAAACGGTCTATCTGATTTTCTGGAGGAAAATGAATCGAACAATCGGTAAAATAGTCGATAGATTAATCCATAGGATCATGGTCGTTAGTGGCAGCCCTAGTGACAATACTACAAATGTAGCGGTATTTACATCTCCTGAAACATTTTTTGTCATTTAACAGTGATACGTTTTATGTTTACGAAATATGTTAGCCCCACTATTTATTCATGTTAATCCTATTTTGATACTCTCTGCCCCTTTGCCAACTTCGTAATGAGTATTGTAGGTTCTCGGGACAAATTTGCTATTGTATCTTTCTACTAGTGCTTATGATGTCACCTTAACAGAGCAGTTACTTGATTAGTGATTCTGATAAAAAATTAAAAAAAAAACAGTTTAACATGGTAGACCTCTGCTCAGGGAATTTTGTGGTATTGTAAGTGGTCATGAGACTTGTCCAAAGATTTTTGGGGATCATCAGACAAAACATGTGGGAACCGTTTTCAGAACTTGATAGTAAATGTAATGTCCATCGAAAAAGTTTCAGATACTTTTCTGATCATCTTCGTATTCCCCAAACTAGTCCTGTATCAAATCACACTTTTGGCCTCATCACAGATTTTAACAAAACTTGGTATGCTGATTTGATCATATGAATAATCCAAGAACTAAAATTGAGCATGTCTTGGATCAATATTAAAGGAGATTTAAGCTAACAGTGCTTGAATTTACGAGGGCTATACCTATGCTTGCTGTACCATTTCATTGCATTTCATTTCAATATGGTGCTATGAAAAAGGCCCATTAGTAATATGAAACCATGTTATCCCACCTATAAGCCATGAAATCTCGGAAACGACTCAAAAACCAAAGACCACGTTTTCTTGAAACATTCATGACATTATCAGCTAGCTTTAGTAACTAATTTTAGTAACTTTAGAGACCAGTTTTAAAATATAGGTTTTTTGCTGTTCAATTTTAAATATTATAATCACTCATAACATGGTAGTTTTTTCATCTTTGGGATAGCATTCTATTTACATAAGTGATTCTCAACCCCTGGGTCACAGCAAGTTCTGAAAGGGTCACGAGGCAGAGTTGGAAAAAAATAATTTTAAAACCAGCAAGCTCCTATGCTGATCCACAATCAGATTTCTCAGCCCCAATCCTAGAATTAACCTATATTAATGGGTCTTGGGTCTGCAAATACTTAGCGCAAAACTAGTGAACACTCAGCCAATCAAAGAAGCCAAATCACAAATATTTATTTTAAAATTCACTGGCACATCCATTCAGATTTTTATGAGAAAGTCCTTGGTGTGTATGTTGATGCTTCCATGTCCCATTCTCGCCAGTGTGGGGAAGCAATAAAAAAGGCCAACAGGATGTTGGGTTATATCTCTAGGTGTGTGGAGTTTAAGTGATGCTACGATTATACAATTCCTTGGTAAGACCCCATCTAGAATATTGGTCACCATACCTTCAAAAAGACATTGCTGCCTTGGAAAGGGTGCAACGTAGGGCTACAAGAGTGATTTCTGGTCTTAGAGAAATGTCTTATGAGGAGAGGTTAGCTGAACTGAATCTGTTTAGCTTTGAGCAAAGGAGATTAAAGGGGGGGACATGACCTAGGTATGTAAGAGTCTAACGGGTCTGGATGCTGTTCAGCCAAATGGCTGTTTTCAGTATTAGTTTAAATACTAGAACTCGTGGTCATAAATGGAAATTGGTGGGAGAACATTTTAAAATGAATTTGAGAAAGTACTTCTTTACACAGCGTGTAGTTAGAGTATGGAGTAGTCTTCCTGTTAGTGTAGTGCAAGCTAAAGCCCTGGGGTCCTTTAAATTAGAGCTAGATAAGATTATAAGAATTCTGAGCTATTAGTAAAGTTCTTCCCAAACAAGGTTGATGGGCTGAATGGCCTCCTCTTGTTTGTAAATTTCTTATGTTCTTATTTGTGTGATAGGCATTTATTGGCGCAAGTTGCAGAGTGCTTGCTTGATCATAGCATTAATTTGAACCTATATAGTGGATGCTCAGGTTACGATGTCTTGACATATGATGTTTCGAGTTTATGATGCTCACTCCCTTAATAAAACTTTAAAAAATCACACGTCATGGAACTGTGTCAACCCGAGGACCCCCAGTACTTGATATCGGGTCGTGATTGAACTGGCATAGCAAAAATAGAGTCGTGGTGGGAAAATTCATTTTCCAGCTCTGTATTTTGTGTAAGAACTTTAAAATGAATTGAGATCCATTTCTGTGCAACCTGTATTAAGGGAGATGTAGCTAGTCAAAATCATAGCCCCCCACCAGCACCCCCCAGTAAGTTCCATGGGTTACTCGTATGACCAAATCAGCATGCCAAGTTTCATTAAAATCTGTGACATCAAGGTCAAAAGTGTGACAATTTGACATGGAATTATCCCTCAGATAGTTTTTGAATTGGGTCTTTGTCCAACTTGGCAAACCCTATACAGGTAGGTGTGTGTGGTTTTTTTTTTTTTTTTTTGCTTCAATTGCTTCACCTGTCAACAATTTTTGAATTGTTGACAGGTGTAGTTTTGTTTTTTTATGGATGCATAAAGTTTCTTTGCTGAAAGTTGCTTTTGTTGCATCATTTAGCATATTTACCCAGTGTAATTATTGTTTTATTTATTCATGTTAATCCATGTGCATTTGCATGACAACAGAATAGGTAATTGTGTGGAGAAGAGGTTTTTAAATGTTTTGGTTACACATATAAAAGCATGTAAGTGGTCTTCAGATGTATAATGAAAGACAATATATGTCGTAGCTTCAGTGCATGTACATTCTTGTATAATGCCTAATCTTGGATTAAAATCCACACTCCATTAGGAGAAGTGGTAATTGGCAGTGCAGCAAGAATGAGTAATGGAAACCGACTGCGCTGGGACCTGACGCCGGACCAGGTCCAGCATCTCTCTGATGAACTTATTGCCAGTGCAAAGAAAGTGTATGATGCAGTTGGCTCCCTGGACCTGGCTAGTGTCACCTATGAAAACACCCTAAAGGCCCTGGCTGATGTGGAGGTGGAATATACAGGTAAGATGATATATTTATGGATCTGGAGGGCACATTCTTTAGTGAACTAACTCCATCCTGTTAGTGCCATCTCATTCTACCCAAGATGTATTTGACAAAAACTAGTGATGGAAGTTTCTGGCTGATACCAATAGCTGATTATTTTGAAAAATAACACTGATATCGATATTGATTGTTTGAGAGACTCTGCTTAAATAAGTTTAAAGGGACCCCCAAATTAAAAAATCAATATAGAAAAGTATTTATTTTTGGCAAGAAACTAACTCTGGCATACTACAGTCCCATGCACAGGCACAGTATTTTATAACTGTGTAAATATTACATATTTATAGCATTTATAGTAGGGAAGGGCTGATCATCAACTGTGTAATTTTCCAGGTAATATTTTAATTCCATATTGTCTGCATTGAATTTTCTTCTGCTATCAAACTCTTGTGTTACTGATGGACTACACATTATTTGGTAGTACTGCAGCCTTTATTGGAATGAATTTGTTTTTCAGAAATTTGTCACTGTCTTGCCATAAGATGACCAATCACGTTTTTGTTTTCTTGAAATGTTTGTTAGTCGATCCCCCTTGTGAAATTTCAGCAATGTTTGCAAAATGCATTTCTGATGTTGTTTTCGCTAATATTAAAATAATTCCACACAGCTGACATTTTTCTAACTGTTTAGTATGTAGGTGTGCAAAGCAATATGGGTCACTATTTTAAAGGGAATTTTGTGGTAAATATTAGCTCATTCTTAACCATTGGCAGAAAAACAGAAATAATCAGTGCTTATCTAGAAACTTAAAAAAAATGGCTAGGCATGCACCCTACTGGCTCCACTGGGTGGCACATGTACTTTTTGTTACATTTTCAATGACTTGATTCTTTAACTTTTAAATAAATAACGGATACATTGAGAATAAAGCCAACGGAGAAGCAAAAGGCACATTTTTATCGTAATCTGAAGTGCAAACTGAGCAAGTAGAACACAAACTAAAGTGGCATCCCTTAATGTCATTTTCAGGGTGTGATTATTCTTTCAGACATGGTAAAAGTTTAAAGTGGAAATCTGTATGAGTCAGTTTTTTCCTATATGACGTTAAGGATTTTAGATGGGTGGCAGTATACAGAGGGCTGATTTAGAAGTGGTAATTCTTCATTGAATATGCATATTGTTCTAGATACATCTGTAGGAATAATATCCCACACCTACCTCAATTGTTTCCATTGTCAATAATAACAAAAGTCCTGAGTTCCCTGGAAATAGTACAAGCAATTCAGCATTTTTTCCCCAACTGGATCAGCTGACTGCTTAGAAACCCCTCTACAATGATTTTAGCACATAGTGTTATGGACCATTATTGTTTTTCTTAGGATTTTTCTCTTTTATTATTTTTCTTCCCTAAAACTGAATGTGCAGCCTAAACCGTAAGAGCTAGACCGACCAGACTTGGTAGGACAATGTCAATTCCTACCCACTACTCAGACCATCCGACCCAAGTCAGTCAGATGGGAGCACCGTAGCACCCCCCCCATACCTTTTGGCCAATATCTCCTGTCCTGTTGGTCCTACAGTCAAAAAAAAGAATTCTACTGATACAGCCAGCCATTACCTACAACTTTCAAATTTAAACTATTAAGCTCTGCCTACTTAGATTTTTTTGCTAATTTACATAATTTGCAAATCCTATTTCTGCCTTGAAGTCCTACTCAGTCCAACCAAATCAGGCAAATGAAGTGTCAAACCGATCAGTCCTCTGAGCTGATCAAGAGTTACTGAAAAAATTCTGACACTTGTCTATTGTACGGCCACTAGCCATGCCAAAATCCTGCCCAAATTAGGCCTGTTTTAGTCTGAATGCTATAACTTGGTCGTGCCTTGGCCTACATTAACCAAATTTGAAATCCAACCTCCCTGCACCATTCTGGGGACACTGTACAAGGCTGACTGCATTTCGTCAATAGGGGGTGCTAAAAATACCTACTTTCAATATCTCCTGAACTGCTTGGCCTATCCAAGTGAAATTTGGCACACGTCTACTATGGCCAAGCCTGAGGTCATACCGTTACTATGGCAGTCATAAGTCATAAAATGGTGGCCATGATTCGCCAATGAAAATCATAATGGATTAAATTTATTTGCATAATTTTTTGGGGGGAAATTCGACTTAACCAATTCGCTCAACCAGCCTTCTGGAACGAATTAAGTTTGTGTTCCAAGGTACCACTGTATTGTGTTAGTCTGACTAAAACCGGACTTTTAAAATACATGCTAATGTTTTTCCTACTGAAATCTTTAGTAAATCAACTTTCTTTTGAGTTGATTTATTCCTACATTTATGCGTTCAATTGGACCCAAACTGGCCTAGGTGCTCTGTGGATGCTCCACAGTGGAAGCCCTGGGTAGTAGGGAGGACACAAAGTGGAGCATAACAGAGGTCGCATTGTTGACACACTCCAGGTCCATATGGTGGTGTCTGCCTTCAGATAACACCTTATGCCATGGATGCAATGTACATCTCTGTAAAGCTGTATTCACCACTCAACATTTTGCTTATTTGCCGCCAGCTAAAATGTCAGTTGTTTTGGTTTGTGATGTAATAGGTCTGCTGGAAAAAGCCCAATACTAACAAGCTGAAAGGAGCCATATTGCCACCTATTTTAGTGGATTCAGACATACTTGGGTCAATAAATTAATTTTCCTCCTGAGCTTGTATACTGGGACAAGGACAGTACTCTGGTTAAATGTCCTAGTTGAGCTATAACCATAGCTCCCCTTAACTGTGCATGTAAATATGCTGAGTGATTCTGAGCTGGGGAGAAGTGAAACAGAGTAGCACTGCAGGTGATAGGGATGTGCACTTGGCTGACTGCATCCAAAGCAAAAGAGAAGTTATACAAACTACCAAGGGATGTGGCACAATGATTAAAGGACAGTAACAGGAGAAAAGCAAGAACTGCAGTAAATTAGCCCTCTGGGGTCTAGAGGGTAGGGAACACACAATCACTGACTGGGGCATGATAACACATTTCTTCAAATATCATAAACTTAATTCATGGCAAATTATTTCTTATATTTATTTTGCCATTGCACTCATCTTTATTTTAATGTATATTGTAAATATGTCAGATTTTTATTAAGTTTGTAATTTGACATCAAAATATAGCAGGACTCGAAATTAACTTTTTTACTTGGTAGCACTGGTGCTCCCAACTTCAAAAAGTTAGGAGCACCAGCAAAAATTTAGGAGCACCACAACTACAAATTGTATATTAACAGATTTCTTTAATTTGAAAACAACACCAATCAACACTAACAACAACCAGCTACAACAAATCACTGCAGCTTTACATATCCTGTGGCCAGGATTTGAAATTTGGTCTTCTGGCTCGCTGTCCCTCTGACATCCATCTTTTGACTGAGGCTGAGGCATCAAAGGCTTCCAAAGGAGGTCCCTCAGCGCCGATTCGAATTAGATCTTCTCCCATGTTGGGGTGTAATGAAGATCTAATGTCTGACTTTATGCGCTTTTGGATAGAGAACCCCCTCTCACACTGCGCTGAGGACTCAGGAAGGACTAACATGATCGTTTCTAGATGAAGGATGTTCTGAAATAAAAATAATAAAAATTTCATTGTCAGGGTAGAAGTATTTAGCCTAAAATACATTGATAATCTAACTACTGTGACATTAATTTACTTAGCCAACCTGTAAATCTGAGGAATAGGGTTCCTTGGTCAGAAGGACTTCCCATAACTCGTGGTAGCTCTTGTCTTTAAAAGACATGAACACTAGGGTTTTCAAGATCTGGAACTCCTCCATGGCAAGGGCAAAGTCACAGCCGTTCCTTAATGAAATACAATCCAACTGTAACTGTTTTTTAATGTTAAAGCTTTTAACACAAACAATCAGAAGTCTGTATTTTGAATATTAACAATGAATTACCTTTCCAGTACATCTTGAAAATGGTCCAACAGGAAAGTGACGACCTCTATTCCATAATCAACCAACTCCTCTGCTGTCTCTGGCCAAACATCATGGTTGAACACGTGAAAACATTTGACCGCTTTGGTTGCTGCAGTGTCCATTCCATGTTCCTCCTGACCTAAAAAAAAAAGCAATAAAAAGACATTTTTGTAATAAAATGTGACTCTGGACCACAAAACCAGTCTTAAGTCGCTGGGGTATATTTGTAGCAACAGCCAAAAATACATTGTTTGGGTCAAAATTATTGATTCTTGTTTTATGCCAAAAATCATTAGGATATTAAGTAAAGATCATGTTCCATGAATATATATTGTAAAATTCCTACTGTAAATATATCAAAACTTAATTTTTGATTAGTCATATGCACTGTTAAGAACTTTATTTGGACAACTTTAAAGGTAATTTTCCTCAAAGTTTTGATTTTTTTTTATTGCATCCTCAGATTCCAGATATCAAATAGCTGTATCTCCAAATATTTTCCTGTCCTAACAAACCATACATCAACGGAAAGCTTATTTATGGTCCAGGGTCACATATTTTTAAATCACGTTTTAATGTTTTTTAAAAAAAATTGTTTTATGATGAATAATTTAATTATTTTAGTGTAGGTTATCAAAAGTATGTCATTTACATATTCTATTACACATCCTGATTAATAACATACAAAGCAGGCTGCTAAATCGAAGACGAGGCTGTTTAACTATTGCAGCAACGGTGGTCTCTATCTGCTTCTGAAGTCTGGGAGCAGTCTGACTGATTGGTCCATCCTTAGCCATATTCTCTGCCTCTCCTTTCCTCAAAGGAACCCCCTTGACAAATTAAAATGAGTATACATTCCAAATTAATCAAATGATTCTAAATGCTGTTAATTTCATATATAATTTCACTACACTACACTAAAAACATTACAGTTCATGTAATATCCTGTTTGCACAAGACGCCTACCTACGACACAAATTAAAATGATCAGTAACACTTTCCTGTATGACCATCAACTGAATGTTCAATTGAACGCTTGAAAAACTTTTATAAAGGTTGTACCTGAAACATAAACTGAGGCTGCATTTCCTGCTCCTGCTCTTGCTCCCTAACATCTCTCTGCCTTTTCATGGCTGCATGAAAGGAAGCCAGCTTTCCACCTGGACATGACCTCACAGCCATTGCCTCAATGTTGAGGATTAGGTTCCTCAAGCTGCTGACTGCCTGTTAATGTGATTCCATCTAAACATAACTTTGTTGTAGTCTTAACATGGCAAAGAACTGAGATCCCAAATAATGGTATAATTGATTGTTTCATCACAAGGTAAAGCTTACCTGGGGGAGGATCACATCATTTCTTTGCAGTAACAAGCTGTATTTACTGGTGGCAGAAAACAAATCAGCCAAGAAATGGCAGAAAGCCAGAAATGAGCCATCCTCCATTGTCTCCTTGATCTACAAAGAAAACAATAAATTTATACCTTCCCTTTCCTCACTTTACATGAGCAATATCTATACATGTAAGACATAGCACTGTGCAGGTAATTATTTATACAGGTATGACAGGGCAGGTAAATTTCCACACAGTTTCATATATATACACATACATACATACATACATACACGCACAATAACTATGCAATACCAAATAGGCAATTAATTAATTATAAAAAAAAAGAAGAAACATCAGCATTAGCATGTTCCACCTCAACATGCCCGACGAGGATGGTTGTGGGCAGTCCGTTAAGCAGGATGTGGACATACACAATCATGCACTCCTTGACAGACAGGGTACTGGGCTGATGATACTTTAACTGCAGTGTTCTCACGGATGGTATCTGCTATTACGCCGATGATATTGGCACATGACTTGTCATTTGCATATGTCATTTTAATTGCAATACCATTCTTTTTCATTAGCTGCAACATGAGTTTAAATTTAGTGAAGGTGAGCTCTTCTTTGGTGATAGTGTATGCGGTGTTAAATTTTACGTTCAGTTCTGCCAACTGCGCGGAACGGCTGGCAGTATCCTGACTATTAAAAGCCTTAACAATCGAACCTGATGATACTGAACTTTTTGCCACACACTTGTCTCTGCATGTCTTGTATTTGGCACTCTCACCGTGTTTGACCAAGCTCTCGCGCTTAAAGTGCGTAGATTCGGTGGCGAACGCTGTGTTGCCTGCAAACTCCGTCCCACAGGTTTTACAGTGAATGCAGTGCATAGAGCCATTTTCATAGCGGAGCCACTCGAAGTCTTTCAACCATTCTCTCCGAAAACTGTACTCCTTCTTTTCGGCTGGTGAATCAACATGAACCACATGATCACTATCACCAGCGCCATTATTTGTAACTTTAGGTGGTTTGCAAAAGAAATCTGTCAGTGTTCTTTTCATTTTCCCTCTTCTTCACCTCTTTACATTTACATTTCTCCGCTGTAGTTAGCGCTGTCACCTGACTGAGTGATTGACAGCTATTATTAACTAATCTAAAATCTCAACAGCAGAACGGTCACCATATCAGCATTCAGCACCCAGAACACACATATACTGTTAACGTTTTTTAGAGAAATTAAAACAGGTCGCACGACAACATTTACATGCACTCGCACCAATGCTCCCAAATATATTTTGAGGTCGCATAGAGAAAATTTCGGTAGCATATGCGACCAAAATGGTCGCAATTTCGAGCCCTGTATAGACATTGCAAAATGCAGTTTGGAACACTTGTAGAAACATTATAAAAGTACATAGCAATGGTGCCAGTTTGTTTTGATGCCAGATATCTACATGCCCCCGATGCAGATAAAACAAAGTAAGATGACATGGTTTACTTCTTTGCCGATTTTAACCTAATTTAAAAAACTTTAATACTTCCAACAATGGACGTTTTGAAAAGAAGACAGATTACGGATTTAGTCAGTGTTTTTTCATGTTTCTCCAATAAGATTTCAGCGAGTTATGAACTGAAATACATGAGAAATATACGCGGTATCACCGATGATGCCGTCGACCCCAGGGAGTTAAGCAAGGTTTGTTAATGTATGTTAATTACCAGGAAAAAGAATGTAAAGCTTATTTCCTTAACACATCTCTTGAGGAATTTAACAAAAACATAAGAACGATAAGGGTGATGAGAAATGATACTAAGAAAAGAATCTAAAAGCATTGTGATAATGTTATGATGAAATCTATAATAATAATGTAAGAGGGCAGCGGCATAGTTTAGTTGCACTGAAGATGGAAAGTAAATGGCGAATAACTGAATTTGGAACCTAAGGCTCATAGCTTTCTAAATGCATGCTAGTTGTTGCTTGGGTAACACTACAGAATTGAAAGTTGTTGAAACAGCAATTAGCTAATGACAAGATGCAATTAACAGTGAGGGTGCACAGCAAATTACTTAAGGTGTTTTGTTGTTGGTTTTGCTTCAGTGTTTTACTGGTGCTATTCTGGTACCATATTACAGCTGAGTTCCTCCAGTAGCTTCATATTATCTGGTTCTGGCTGTCAGTGAAACTTTCTGTATACAAATTCTGTAGAATGTGTTTATTCTGAATGAAGTCTACACTAATAGAAGGTGCTTTTAACCCTCTAGAATGTTAACTATTTGTCTTCCTTTCAATTTGCAGTTCAGCGTAATATGCTTGACTTTCCTCAGCATGTCTCACCATTGAAAGATGTGCGCATGTCAAGCACTGATGCAGACAAGAAGCTTTCAGAGTTCGATGTTGAGATGAGCATGAGGGAGGATGTTTATCAAAGGATTGTTGCCTTCCAGGTGAAATTTTCTTGGCTTTTCATCCTAAAAATGACCTTAAAATATATCAAATAGAAATCCACTTACACTAAGGCTGCCAGTGCTGATAGATTTAAAAACTGAAACTGCACTCGAGCATTATATTATATGTAAAATCCAGAGTAATATTACCTATGCTTAAACTTTATCATAGTTATGAAGTGAAATATTGTTATTAAAATTTAATAGTAAAATGTATATCATTTGTATAGCTCAGAGGTATCACTTCTGTTACAACCTGTTAGAGTGAGCTTGTATGCAGAAATAAATTAAGGGGCACATACTGCATTTTATATTCTTACAGCAAAAGCAGGAAGCACAAACTTTAAGTCCCGAGAGTAAGAGGTACATGGAAAGACTGATAAAGCTTGGCAAGAGGAACGGTTTGCACCTCCCGAAGGAAGCTCAGGATGTAAGAGACCAGTATTCAAAATGGATCAACTTTTATCATGTCTTTATAAATGCTTTTAAAATGATCATGAAGATTTTTCCCCTATGTAGGAAATCAAAAATATCAAGAAAAAACTAAGCAACTTATGCATTGACTTCAATAAACACCTGAATGAAGACACAACAACTTTGTCCTTTAGCAGAGACCAGCTTGGTGAGAACTTGGATTTTTTTGTGAAGTTTGGACACTAAAATGTGAATTAAAACAGAATGCATTGGTTTGCAAATCATATATAAACCCATATTTACTTGAAAATAGGACATATCAGATGTTAAAATGTTTTTGTTTTATGACATATATGCTCAATTTCAATTTGATGCCAGCAACATGTTTCAAAAAAGTTGGGACAGGGGCAACAAAATAGTGGAAAAGATGCTAAAACAAAACAATTAGGTTAATTGGCAACAAATTAGTAAGATGATTTGGTATCAAAAGAGCTGCCCAGAGCGGTAGGGAGTGGTTCACCACCTTGTAAAAGACTGCTTAAGCAATTAGTGCAACAATTTAAGAATAATGTTCCTCAATGTAATATTGCACATAATTTGTGAATTTCATCATCTGTACATGATATTAAAACATTAAGAGAATCCAGAGAAATCTCTGCATGCAAGATACAAGGCCGAAAACCAATATTTTATATGTGAGTTTGGTATAACAGAGCCAACAGATACTCTTGGTCTTATCAACCACTCTCTCTCCAGTGTTTGTGTAATTTATAGGGAAGCTAAAATGTTTGCATGCCACCAATTATGACTGACTGTAACCAGCATTATTCGTAACCAATTCACATCAATTAGTAAAATGTTTTTTGTATTGAACATCTACTTCTAAATTTTAGGTTCCGCCCATGTCATTGAATGTTCATTTGTTTCCTTGTGTGTAACAAATCGAAAATTATGGACTGAATCGTACAAAATGCGTATGTGTACCATTATTGCCCTATTATTTCAGAGGTATTGTGCATTTATTTGGTATGCTTCAGGTGGTCTTCCTGATGATTTTCTGAACTCTCTTGAGAAGGATGAGGATGGAAAATTAAAGATCACCCTGAAGTATCCACATTACTTCCCCACCATGAAGAAGTGTTACGTCCCTGAGACACGCAAAAAGTTGGAAGTAGCCTTTAATTCCCGCTGCAAGGAGGTATGCAGCAGATTGTGTTCATGAACACTCATGCCATATAATGAACACTCCCCAAGGCTTGTTCTTTACTAAACATATGTTTTTGGTTGTATATTCCAGCATACAGTGGCTTGCAAAAGTATTCAACCCCCTTGAAAGTCATTTTCTGGATGACAAAAGATTTATACACGTATTTGTCCATTCAATTTTTTATGTGAACTCAAATTCTGTAACAGTACCAAAGTCAAAATAAACAATTTTTCTGTAGATATTTAACTGAAGAAACTGAGAACAGCCTTAATTATTTTGGGGTATGTACCAGTTTTGCACACTGTGCAAGACTGATTGTTCTCTGTTCTTGGCAGTATTTATGGAAATCCTGTAGGTTGCTGGGACAGCACCTTTACTACTTAGATCTGCTTAGATTTCCAAAAGGCTTTTGATGTTGTCCCCCACAAGAGGCTCTTACTTAAACTCAAAGCGACAGGTATTTTAGGAACTGTAGCAACCTGGGTTGATAACTGGTTAACAGATAGGAAGCAGCGAGTAGTTATAAGAGGCACAATGTCACAGTGGGCCTGTGTTCATAGTGGGGTACCGCAGGGTTCAATTTTAGGACCACTATTGTTCCTAAT